TGTTATAACATTTTATATGTTTTCTCTTAATAAATGATAGGCAAGATCGCCTAAGTTAAAAAAAAAAAAAAAAAAAAATAGTCATTCAGCAAATAATTGTCTTAATGGAGGTTGATAACTAGGTTGTAATTCTCGTAGTGCATCAATAAAATAAGGATTACTAATAATATGAAAAGGTATATTACATACTATAAATGCTTTTATTAAAGTTAAATTGATGCTATCTTTATGTTGTGGAGTTAATTTGATACTTTCTAAAAATTCAGATAATGATGCTTAATTACTTGTAAGTATGCTTTTTTTTTGTTCAAATTAGTACCAGGTATAATTTCCTGAGATACTGCTTAGCTATGATCTTGTTAATTAGCAACAACTTTAGTATAAAAATCTATAACATCTTTATCTTGATTAGAACAGTCTAATGCTAAATGTTCTTCTAAATCTACAGGTTTTGCATGTATCCAAAAAGATCCACATACTTTGCACTATCTTAAACAATACCCTTTTACAGAAACACCTTTATTAAAAAAAGTCCAAACTCCTGCAGTTGGCCAGCCAGCAGATTTTTTTAAAATAGGTTCTAGAGAATTTTCATTTTGAGAATTTCCACTTTAGAAATTTATATTTTGAGAAATTTCATCTTGAAAATTTTTATTTAAATCATCTTCAAAATAAGATTCATTCATTTTATATAGTAATATAAAAAAAAAGATGATTTTAAAATTTTTTTAAAAAAATCATAAATTTGATACAGGCAATAAATTTATAAGAATTTAAAATATATTAACTGGATACATGTAAAATAAATTAAAATTATTTAATATCAATCTATAAAATAAAATAATTATATTTGTATACAATATTATTATTAATGCAAAGCTATAGTTTATTACATAATGGAAAAGAGAAGCAGCTATACAACTTCACTACTCAAAATACATTATAGACAAGCGATATCACAAGTAAAAACTCTAATTATATAAAAATTATAAATAATAGCTAATAGAAGATATGCAAGTATGAGAAGAAGATATTCGATAATAATGATACTGGTATATACTTGGCAAAAGAATCAAGCACCAAAATATGCTAGAAGAATAACATATTAATATAAAAGTTTCTAGTATTAGAAGGATACTGATATAAAATTCTCACAAACTATGCAAAAACTAGGAAACTATGTAATTCTATTATTTCCTCTAGCTTGCTTTAGCAGGTAAAAATAGTTTCACTAGTAATTACTTTTTTCATGAGATATCCCTATCAAATATTAGTGCGGCTAAAAGATAAATTAATCATTAGTAGTGAAAAATAAGAATTGTTTAGAATTTAATGAATTGATAAAAAAAGATACATAAATCAATAAAGAATTTTTGTATATACTCGTTGATTAATTAAAACATTAATAACAATTCTGTAATATATTTATATTCATAATGATTCTTGTATACAAATCTGTATTCACAAACACTTAAATATTATTTACAAATATCTTTGATTAAATTTTGTACTAATTATTGCTTAATTGATGATTGCATTACTAAATAATTATAATTGAATATATTAAAAATAAATTGGTATTACGGTTATGAACTTTGAGAATATATATACAATAGTACAATTCTAGTTTTATATCTCATCATAGAATAATTATGTGATATACTTAAAAGAATAATATATATTTGGTATGATAAGCACTTTAATTTAATTAAAAATAATAATAATAATTAGGGGTTTTGCAATACGTAGAAATAATATAATATATCTCTAATTAATTAAAATATACTTAACAGGTAATTAATCAAGCTCATAACCAGAATAGCATAAAAATAGCTAATTAATTTTTTAATATTCATGATCATCATTCTACATGACATTATTATTTATATACGTATTTTATTCTTTAACTAAACTAATTAATCTAATTAATAAATAAATAAATAAATAAATAAATAAATAAATAATAAGCCACATTATTTTAGTTTACCGTTTGAGTTTTTTCAGCTAATATATTAAATATCAATATCAATTAATGAATGCTTTTATTATGCTCTTTGCTTAGTCTTTGACGATCATTAATTATCATTTCATCAGACTAGCAAAAATCTGATATACTAATACTAGTTTAATTTAATTATTTTGTTAATTTGCTTGTACTGACTTTTGCTTCTAGCCTCTTGCTTCTAATAATTAATATTCATAAAAGCAAGAACAATATTCATTTCAAATTATATCAAATAATATTAGATCATACTATATTATATCATGTTCAGGGTTTCAAACATTATAGTAATTTGACAGCTACCTAATAATTGTCATTCTTGATCTATATTATAATACTATTTAATTTTGATTAATCAAAAATAATACTTTAAACAATTATCATTAGTGTAGTAAATGGCCAGCATATTAATATAGTATCTGAAGCTCTAATCATATCATATCATTCTCATAAAAATAAAGGGTGTAAAAATTTCCTTTTAAGGAGATTGTTAAAGCTATGTATTAATATTACTTTTTTTATACATTTAAGGTTAGTAGTTTATGAAAATATCAAAATATGGTAAAGATAGTTATGCCAAACTTAATACTAAAAAAAAAGCTTATTGTAAAGAGAATTGGTTGTCAAAACTTGAATAGATTATACATTGATCTTCATACTTATCCTAAAACCTGAATAACTAAGCTTATGAGATATTATAGTAAAACCTTTTTCATAAAGTTAATGCATATCAGAAATAAGATAGTATATAAATTTTACTAAGTGCATAGTTATACGTATGATATTTTAAAAGTTAACAGAATGACATATTAATTAGAGCAAAATTAAAGTATCTTTATTTTTTAACAATTATTTAGTATAAATTTATAACATTATTTAACTTCTTATCCTTATTTTACTAAAGGTTCATCTTCACATCTTCGCTGACACACTATTCTATTATACTACTTTTCATGAGTTTTGTATTTTATTATTTTTTATATAAAAATTTTTTATTCTTAAATATATATACATATTAAAATAAACTTTATGATCTATTACGACATATTGCATAACAATGATAATAAATGTGACAGAGTACGTATCAAATTATTATATATCTATATTTAGATATTTAGTTATATATATAATATTTATTTTGTAAAGCATTGAAAAGCATAAGTATGACTGGTCATATAACTAGACGAATACCAGCTAGCCAAAAGTGCTAGAAATAAATTTAGTTAAAAGACCTAAAGTTCGCAGAATATATTATGAGTAATTTTAGCTAAGTAATTCAAACTGAAATGATGATATACTCTCAGAAAATTAGCAAGTGAGATTGTACCAAGTATCATCATAACAGTAGAATGAGCGAGAAGCTATATTAGCTAGTAGTTTTTTAGCTATTAAATAGAAAAATAGCAGAATCAGAAGACTATCATTTGTGGTAGAAATGGTTGTGTTGAGAAACTTGTTTGTCTAAGACTATTGTGTTGAAGGAGAAAAGAGTTTTTTTTTTTTTTTTTTTTTTACTTTATACAAATGCTATCGGCTAAACTTTATTAATTTCATATATTCCAGAAGTG